CCTAGCCTAGCCTAGCCTAGCCTAGTCTTGCCTTGCCTTGTCTGTTTTCTCGGTTTCTGATCTTCGCCTGTTTTCCTGGATTTATCCCTTTAGTCTTGCCCCTTTTGATTCTGTTCGCCGTTCGTTGACCTTCGCTAGCCCTAGGATTATTCTTGTGTCTTGCCCGCCATATACCTGTTTTGCCATTGTTCGACCCTGCCTGTGTTTCTGACCTCTCTGCTTAATAAAGCTTGCACATGGATCCGCATGTCTCACGTCTTGTCAGCCCCGTAACAATGATAGTTTTTACTGCTCTATTTCTCCAGAGAATATCATGACCCTTCAGGAGGTTCAGACTGAGGCTCTTATTTTAATGATGTGTTGTGTGTGTGTGTGTGTGTGTGTGTGTGTGTGTGTGAGTGTGTGAGTGTGTGTGTGTGTGTCTGTGAGAGTGTGTGTGTGTGTGTGTCTGTGAGAGTGTGTGTGTGTGTGTGTCTGTGAGAGTGTGTGTGTGTGTGTGTCTGTGAGAGTGTGTGTGTGTGTGTGTCTGTGAGAGTGTGTGTGTGTGTGTGTCTGTGAGAGTGTGTGTGTGTGTGTGTCTGTGAGAGTGTGTGTGTGTGTGTGTCTGTGAGAGTGTGTGTGTGTGTGTGTCTGTGAGAGTGTGTGTGTGTGTGTGTCTGTGAGAGTGTGTGTGTGTGTGTGTCTGTGAGAGTGTGTGTGTGTGTGTGTCTGTGAGAGTGTGTGTGTGTGTGTGTCTGTGTGTGTGTGTGTGCGTATGCGTGTGTGTGTGTGTGTTACCTGGACAGACGTAGCAGCAGCCGTCTCTGCTCCTGACAGGCGTGTGACACAGAACTGGAGGACACGCTTCAGAATCACACAACACTCTTCCCAGTCGACACGTACAGCTGGTGCACTCGTCCAGACGCCACGTCTCTCCCTCCACGAACAGCTCTCCGCCGGGAGCACGACACACCACCAGATCCAGACCCTCCGGCTGCCCGCTGCCCGACTCGTCTGCTTCACACACAGACAAACACCAAGTGAGGGCTTCATCCTGAGACTGAGATCAGTTACTCAAATCAAGATGCTTTTGCTGGTCAAGGTCAAGAGTGTACAAAACCTCACAAAACCATCAAAACAGACCAGTGGAAACACTAATACGATACATTTAGATGGTTCTGACTTTTGGAGAAATGTGATGAAGAACTGACTAAATAATCCAGTCCGTCTTTATCCACACAGAATCCGCTTTAGAGCAAGTGATGAAAAGTAATCAGACATTAGATGAGATTATCATGAATATCTACATTCACAAGGAATTTCTTTCTAACTTTCCAAGAACAATCATCAGCCAGGTTTTACACAAAAACATTGCAACTCCAAAAATCAATAGAAATACAAATATATATTGAATACATGAAAAAGAGTCTGTTTTAGGATTTGTTGCATTATGACCCTATTTTCATCACAATCACACATTTTCCTTCACATTTCTGTGGAAACCGTGACGCATTTTATTTTTCAGGATTCACAGATGAACAGAAAGTTCAAAAGAACAGCATTTATTCGAAATAGAAATCTTCTGCGACATTATAAGTGTCTTTACTGTCACTTTTCATCAATTTAATGCGTCCTTGATGAATAAAAGTATTCATTTCTATGTTTTTGAAATCACAGTTTCCACAAAAATATTGTGCAGCACCACTGTTTTCAGCATTGATAATAATCAGAAATGTTTCTTGAGCAGCAAATCAGCATATTAGAATGATTTCTGAAGATCATGTGACACCGAAGACTGGCGTAATGATGCTGAAAATACAGCTGCGCATCATAGAAATAAATTACAGTTTAACAGATATTCACATAGAAAACAGTTATTTTAAATGATAATAATATTTCACTATTTTTACTGTATATTTAATCAAATAAACGCAGCCTCTGTGAATATCAGAGGCTCTTATCAGTGTCGTACCCTCACAGCCGGGGCAGCACTGGTTTGGGTGGAGCACAGGGTGGGTGCAGGTGGGTACGGAGCAGGTGATCAGCACACACATCTCTCGGCCGGCGCGACAGAAACAGTCCCGGCAGCCGTCGTGCCATCCGTCTCCATCCTCGAAGCGCTGGCCGCTCGCCGTCAGACAGAAGCTGGAGGAGACGGTGTCTGCATCTGAACACCACACAACATCAGCATCAGCATCACAGCCATGAAGAGACCAGTAGAGATCATAAACCACAGCAAACATAGCAACAAGCTGACAAAACCGGTCCGTAAACCTCCCAAAAAATACATTTTGCATAAATAAAACCATGCACCTTTTTAGGATTTTCATCACAACTTTCGTCATTTTGTAATGCATCTGAATGGTTAAATTTTATTTCTTATAAAATGTGATTTAACAACGTCGTTTGCACTGCGCTCTTGCGTTACTTGATTTTTTCATTTTGGTGCGTCAATCTGTTGAGTTACTTAGTATAGGAAATTATGATCCGCACTCACGAGAACAATCTTCTTTTTTCTTTTATTTTACATTCATTACTGATGGGAAAAGACACAAACGTTTCGGCTCAAAGCCTTCCTCAGTGTGTAAAGCAATTCAATCCCTCCACCCACTTTTCAAATCACTAATTATATTGACGTCAACATTAATTAGCCAATGTTCAATTACCACAATCATTAAATCATTTCCACTTAAACCCTGGACAATCCACATATATACATCCAACACAACACGCCACATCCACCAGTACACCTCACAATACACCCGTGACCAAAACAACAGTTGTCCAGGACCACACATCCATCACCACCATACAAACCCATAGTCTATCCCATCAATCATCAATATCCACTCCACCAATCAACCTTAAATTGCACAACAATGGAAAATTCAATAATTAAGAACATCAGAAATACATCGTCATAAACTATCATTGGTTTTCACACTGTAAATACTCAATTTATTATATAAAATGAATACGACCAACCATAGTTCATTAAAGAAAGACAGAAAGATCTAATTCCTCATTCATACCATTTGGGTTCAGTGATTTAAGTTTATGAATCCAAAATGCTTCTCGTTTCAATAGTTCTTTATTTATATTACCTCCTCTACGTGACCCAAAAACTTCCTCCATTCCTATGCATTCCAATTGCTTGATATCATGTCCCAATTCGTTAAAATGTCTCGCTACTGGAGAGGTTATGTCTTGTCGTCGTATACTAGATTATAAAATGTGTCCCTGCAGCACAAAAGCAGTCTTAAGTCGCTGGGGTATATTTGTTGCAATAGGACAAAACTGACCCTTATGACTGGTTTTGTGCTCCAGGGTCACATTTGTTTGTAATTCTCAATGTTGAGACGGATCAGATTTTCATTGCTGTCATTTTTGACTCAATTATGGCAAAACAAAATACTGCAATACAATCAGCGGTATTTTAATATCATTTATATACTATTATAGTTTTAATTGTTTCGTTTTTATTTTCCATTTTCAATTGAATTGTAAAGTTTTAGTATTTTAAAAAAAAATATGTATATAGTTCAATGAATTTTATTATTCTAGTTTTTATTAATATTTTATTAATGAATAATTAATATTTTTCATTTTTATTTTGATATTTTCATTTCGTGATTTGTATTAGTTTTTGTTTTCTTTTAATAGTCCATATGGTTTTTATTCCTTTTTAATATTATAGTTTTATTAATATTTCAAGTTAACTTTAATTTCGATATATTCCATTTTAGTGAATTATTATTATTTATAAACTGTAATTTTGTTGTGTTTTTGTCATTTTTATTAGATTTTTTAAATGTCTATTTAGTTTTTATTCATTTTTAGTTTTAGTTTTAGTTCAACTTTTTTCAACATTTTGCCTTTTTTATCAATTTGATTTAATTTATTTTATTCCAAGTTATGAAACTGTTGCTTATGGTTTTAGTTAAATTATAATAACTCAGATTTTTTAAGGTAACTCAGCATAAAGAATAAAACTACTAAACTAAAATGTATGATCATAATGATAACATCAGTCTAATATGATACGAGTATTAGTGTAATGTGAATATAATATCCCTGATTACAGTCTCCAGCTGAAATAACATCTTCTGAACGTCTGATATTTAGCCAGTAATGAGTTTATAATTATGCTGTGGATAAACTGAACTGAATGCACCAGTTAAAGCAACACAAACACAACTGCTTTCCTGCGTCTGCGAGTGTTTGCTTCCTTTAAAAGTGTTTAGTGAAGGTTTCATCTCTAAATATATTTAAGCTGTTTGCTGAAAACTGCTCCAGATGTTTGAAAACGTGTGTGTGAACGAACTAAAACACACTCCACAAACTCACCAGATTCACATGAAACTGAGTTGACAGTTAAACATAACCTTTAGTGTCGAGTTTTTGTTAATATTTTGAATTAGGTTATTTTTATATTTTCTGTTTTCATTTTGATTTTAGTTAGTTTTAGTAATTTTGTTGTGCATGTTGACATTTTTATATCAGTTTTTTTCAAAATAAACAGCGTCTTTAAATAATTTTAGAGTTTTAGTTCTATTAGCACATCAAGTTAAACTACACGAGCTAGTTGAAATACATTTTTATTTCATCTCATTTAAAGTTTATTTTATTTCAAGTAATGAAAATGTTTTTTATGGTTTCTGATTTCATTTTGATTTAGTTAAAGTTTTAGTAATTTTGTCTTTTGTCGTCTTTAGTTTTTTAAAATTTTATTTAAAATAATTTTAAATTTAATTCGTTTTAGTTCTATTAGCACATCAAGTTAAACTAAATGAAGTAGCTGAAATACATTTTCATTTCAAACAAAATTTAATTTCATTTAAAGTTTATTTTATTTCAAGTAATGAAAATGTTTTTTATGGTTTCTGATTTCATTTTGATTTAAAGTTTTAGTAATTTTGTCTTTTGTCATCTTTATAAATAATTTTAAATTGAATTTTAGTACATCAAGTTAAACTAAATGAACTAGCTGACATAAAACGAAAAGTTTAAGTATTTTTATTTTTCAGTTAAAGTTTATTTCAAGCAAAGAAAATGTGTTTTTATGGCTTTATTTTTAGTTGTCATTATAATATATGCGTTGTTTTAGTATCACTGATATACTAATATAGTATAATACTAATACTACTAGTTACTATTAATATTTAAAATTTTTATATTTTCTGTTATATTTTTATATATTTTGTTGTGCATTTTATTCTTCTAAGTTTTAATTTTTTTTAATGTTATTTTTAAATATTTTTAAATTTAATTAGATTATTTTAGTACATCAAGTTAAACTAAATAGCTGAAATAAAATCATTTGTAGTTTTTTTTTTTTTCATTTATTTTAATTCTTTAATTGATGTTATTTCAAGTAATGAAAATGTGTTTTTATGGTTTTAGTTTTAGATAACTATAATAACCCTGATGATATATAAACGCATATTAAATGTTGGGCATAAACCATGTGTTTTTATGGCTTTATTTTTTTTATTATAATATATGCATTGTTTTAGTATCACTGATATGCTATTATAGTATACTAGTTACTATTAATATATATTTTTTTCAGTTATAGTTTTGATTTTAGTTAGTTTCATCAATTTTGTTGTGCATTTTATTTTTTATTTTTTTAAATGTTATTTTTAAAATATTTTTAAATTTAATTAGATTATTTTAGTACATCAAGTTAAACTAAATAGCTGAAATAATTTTTTTTTTTTTTTTTTTTTCAGTTTTTTATATTTATACTCAGTTATTTTAATTCTTTAATTGATTTTATTTCAAGTAATGAAAATGTGTTTTTATGGTTTTAGATTTAGATAACTATAATAACCCTGATGATATATAAATGCATATTAAATGTTGGGCATAAACCGGACTCGCCATGCATATTTTTCCATGTATAGACATTTATAAACTGCTTGTAGGAACATTCTGCACAGTGAAACCTCATGACCTCTGACCTCTGCTCAAACGGTCTCAAATCTCCTCGTGCGTCTGCGCAGTCACTCACCTTCACACTCGCAGACGCTGCAGCCCTTCCTGCTCTTTCTGAAGCCGCCGCCGCAGTGTTTGTCGCAGGTGAACGGCGGACAGCGGACGCAGCGGCAAATCTCACAGCCGTGCTTGTTCCTCCTGCGAGGAGAAACAACACATGAACAACCGGCTCAACCAGCACTAACCAGCATAAACCTGCTGGTTAAGCTACGAAAGCACAGCTCTTGACTCCTGCTTAACGCTCAGATGCACTTCAACTTCTGAGGACGGATGAAAGCACGTCTCGCGATACCTCGTAATAATGCAGGACACTTTTATGTTTATAACGTCGTGATTCATTAAAGGTTCTCGTTGTTGGGAGCTGGTTTTTGTAGAGGCGCGATACACCGGATCCAGATGCTTAAACCGGTTTAACGGCCATCTGGTTCTGTTTTCCTCTGCAGAACATGAGCTTCAAGAGTCCAGATGTAAGCAGCACCAGAAACATGTCAGATCACTGTAAAACACACTCACTTCAGCGCTGAACATCATCTCTAGTGCCCTCAGTAGTGCACCACCAGTATGAGCTCACTAACTAGAGCCAGCATAATGCTGATCATATTTAATATTATAAATCAGCAATTTTAAATTATAAATAAACAATATCTAAATATAACATTAAATATTATAATAATAATTAATATTATTATATTTGGGTTAAAAATTACTAGGTTTATTTATGTTTAATGACAAATATTTAATATTATATACTATAATATTATTAAATAAATAAATAATACACAAATATAATAATTAATATTAGTATATTTAATATTAAATTTAGGGCAAATAGGTTTATGTTAAAATGACAATAAAAGCTGAAAATAATATATTTAATATTTTATTACATAGAAATTATGTATTTACATAATAAAAATATATTTAATTTTTTTTATTATTAAAAGTACTTGACAGTTATTCAAAATGATCACACAAAAATTAAAAACAAGTATTTATTATTCATTCACAGGAAGAGGAAACTACTATTTCTGTTATTTCTGGTCAGGAAGGAACAATTAACAGCTCATGATGATAATATTAATTGTTATATTGTCTATTATTAGCTTATAGAAGACTCTTAGCGTCTTCACAAAGTCTCATAATTTGGGACTTTTAGTTTAATAATTATGCTCAGAAGTTTGTTAAAACCACTATCAGTATAAACAATAGTAATAGTGATGCTTGATTTAATAAAATACCATCATGTTTCATGTTTTACACACCTGCACCAGCCAATCAAATCAAGAGTGGACCCACCTACATAAATCCAGTTTCAGTCACAATGTGAAAGTCAAATCTGAGAAGATATCTGAAAGTCTGAAGGTTCAAACCGCACGAGTTGATTCATGAACGATCACCATTAGGGCTGCTAATGAATCATTAATGCGTGAGTAATAATAGCGTCGTCGTCATTAATGAAGATCATTAATGAAACAGCCAGAGGTCACTATACTGTCTGTCAGTGTGTCTGTTGTTCATGAATACAGTACAGTAGTGGTTCACTGCTGAGACAGCATGCAGCACACAAACACAGAACCAGGTCTTTGAGTAAAGTTTTGAGTGAGGACGACTGCTGACTCCACACATACTACTTTACGTCCTGTCAAATCCAATGGGGAAGCGATTTAAGACCCCTTTTGTCGACCAGTGTTGGGGAAAGTTACTTTTAAAAGTAATGCATTACAATATTGCTTTACTCCATAAAAAAGTAACTAATTACGTTACTTTTGCGTTACTTTTTAAATCTGGACAGGGCTTGCTTGTTTGTTTTTAAAATAAAAAAGTTATATTTTTGGCAAATATAAAAGCCTTTTCACACCAAAAGTGAAATGAATAAGCCTCA